TACTGTTTTACTTTATTTTTGATCAACTAAATGAATGAGTATAAGACACTTATTTTTAAGACAGAATACACAGTTATGTTTTCTAATCAGCCATACCAGGAAAACTGCATTGCTTCTCACATTTGAATGAACTGAATTGACTATCCTATTGACTCCTCAGTCCATCCTAATGTAATTTCATCTCCAAAACTGCCCTCCGCAGTTAATCAGTCTTGGACTATAGTCACACACCAACAGGAAGTCATGTGATGCGTGCGATTTCCACACATGATCTCCCAGGGGTCTGACGGAGTTTGATCCCGCTGTCAGCGGAAGAAAGCTGTACTGAGAGAGAGCGAGAATGCTGAGAGAGAAGAATAGAAGCAGTGGGTTGAATACGTAAGGGCCTGCTGACGTGCTGATATATCTGGATTTGGATTTATTTTGGAGATTGAAACAGATCCTTTGGAGAAATGCCGCCTGTGTGAGGGGGAGGGGGCACATATGTGTCAGTATGTGTGTGTGTGTGCTTTTGTAATTGAGAGAACGTTTTAATACCTCTAGAATAGTTCCCTCTGAAATCGAATGTGTGTGTGTGTGAGTCTGTGTTTTATAAAAGAAAACTTTCTCTTTGTTCAAGACTGTGCTCAGAGCTCTAAAAAATGGATTAAACTGTACTAATTGTCTTTTCTCTCTCATTTGCACACTCTTTCAGTGTCAGACACACACACTGTAACATCGGTGAGAGAGGTGCTGAGGCAGGGTCTCTATTATGACATCAGAAAGAAAGGATGAGAGGAGGACAGGGAGTATGAAAGGATCTGCGGAGGAGTACCTGTTCACAAAGCCCTATTCTATACAGATAATTAAAGTCTTACACATCCCCGTTGGGTTGCACTGCTGAGGAACAAATCAGGTGAAGAATTGGAGGAGGGGAGAAAAAAGATGGATACAAAGAAATGTGTGCATTCAGTCTGCTAAAGCAGCGGCACTGGAAGATTCTTTCTTTAAGTGAAGTGAATTCTGAGTGAAGGTCAAAATGTTAAAGGGGTCACATGATGCGATTTCAATTTTTCCTTTCTCTTTGGAGTGTTACAAGCTCTTGGTGCATAAAGAAGGCCCTCCGGCTGTTCCTCACTCTAGCCCCCGGCCTCTGCTCACTCTATGCCGCCGCCGCACACTCTAGGCCGCCGGCTTCTGCTCACTCTATGCCGCTGCCGCTCACTCTAGGCCGCCGTGTGTGACGCTGTGTTTCGTTGTGAAAGCGAAACTACTTTGTTTGGCCTTCCAAAA